CGAGTTTGATATGGATGCGACTCCTCCCCGGGTTCGATTCCGGGTTCCCTTGGGTTCCTCAGTTCCCTCCTTCCAGAGGTTTTCGGCTTCCCGCATCACATCAAAGGTGGCACAGGAAGCCCTTGCAGTTTACCTCTTGCGAGACCTGGATTACATCGGCCCTTTTGCGGGTTGCCCCATTGACGGGGTGATAGGAGAGGGAGGCTCGTGCTGTTTACTCTCGCCTGGTCCCACGATTAGTGGGCATTTCGGATCATTTCCTCCGGCCTGCATTGGCGTTGGGTCGCTCCTCCTCCTTTGGGAGGATTGGGGCTGGCAGGGCAGGCTTCTTCTCCTCTGCTCTGTCAGGTCATTCGGGAGTGGGTTCGCTTGGGTGTGGTCGAAACGACAACGTCCCTCAGGTGGGGTTTCTGCCTGTTTTCAGTTCCGAAATGGGACTGTGCAGATCTGCAGTTCATACTGGACTTGTCTCGTCTGAATCCCTGGGTCTTTTGCCCCTCCTTTCAGTTGACTACTCTGTTTCAGGTCCGGCTGCTTTTAGCGCCGGGTGCCTGGATGGTGTGTCTGGACCTCTGGGACGCGTATTGGCACGTCCCGATTCATCCGGGATTCAGGGACTGGCTCAGTTTTGTCGTGGGGGTGACAAGCTTGCCGCTTTCGTTGCCTTCAACGCGGCTTTAATCTGGCACCTTGAGTGTTCACACGCCTTACCAGTGGGTTCGGGTTCTGGCTTACCTCGACGACTGGCTGGTGTGGGCTCCCAGCCAGTCCACGTGTCTGCTCGCCGGGTTCGGGTTCTTGCTGAACAGGAGGAAGTCCCATTTGGTTCCCTCTCAGGTTCGGACTTGGCTGGGTCTTGTGTGGTACTCTCGGACCGCTTCCTTCTCTCCCTCCTGTGACGCTATCGCGACTGTGGTCCCGCCTCTGGCTGTTTTTAGAGGGCACCCGGGCCACACATCGGTTGTTCGAGCAGCTGTGCAGGAGCCTGAACTTCGCCATGTTGGTCTACCCATCGGGTCGAATCTGGCTGCGGCGGATGTTCTGGTTTCTTCAGGGTCGTCCCTTCCGCCACTCTCGCGATTGATGGGTTCGGATCCCGGGAGCCTTGTGTCGGCTGCTGCGTCACCGGCTTCCTCTGCGGGTTTTTCGGGGTTCTGTGCCGTGGCGCCTCCCCGAGCTATCGCTTGATGTGCTCATGGATACCTCGTCTCTCAGCTGGGGTTTTGTGACAAGTGCTCACCAGGCCGGCCAGGGTCGAAGGGGTCTGTCTTTTCGTTGAGCTCACAGCACGGCGTGGGAGTTTGCGGTGGTGTGGCATTAGCTTCAGAGGATTCGTGTTGCTCGAGGAGCAACGATCCGGCTCCATTCGGACTGGTCCCTGGTGGTTCATTGCCTGAACTGCGGGGGTTCGATGTGGTCCTTGGTTCTTTGGGGCTGGTTGTTTCGGGTGACTCGTCTGCTGAGTTCTCGGGGTTTGGCTTTCCTGGCGGTTCATGTTCAGAGAGTGTCAAACGTCCTGGCAGACGGCCTTTCTCGGTTCATTCCCCTGTCCATGGAATGGACGGTTGACACGACTCGTTCCTTTGGCTCTGCTGGACGTACGGGCGCCCAGAGGTGGACCTCTTTGCATGGGCATGGTGGAGGCATCTTCCAGTTTATGTGGCGTCCTTCCCAGACTGCGAGGCCGTCACGGTCGATGCCTTTCGACTGAACTGATCGAGGTGGAGTTACCTGTACCTCTTCCCACTTGTCAGGTTGTTGCTCCGGATCCTGGCTCTGTTGGAGACTTACCAGGGGAGAGTTTTCCTGTTGGCGCTTTGGTGGCCAGCCCAGTCCCAGTTTCAGGCTCTTCTTGCTCGATGTCCGAACCCGAGGGTCTTCCTGCAGCTCCGCCTCTTTCAGCAGATTGGTCCGGTCCGGTACGTGGCTGGTTCCATCTTCTCCTCCACTCTTTGCGTCTGGTCTTTTTGACGCAGGTGTATCACCACTTGTATGGTGATCAGGTGGCTTTGTTGATGGTGTCCCACCTGCGAATTTCGTCTTGACGGCAATATGAAATTTCTTGGCGGTCCATTCGGCATTTTTTGTCTCTTCGTAGGTTGTCTTCGATTTCTGATTGGGTTGTTTTGTTCTTTCTCTCTTGGTTGTTTCAGGATCGTCATCTTATGCTAAATACTGTTGCCTCGTATCGTGCAGCGCTGGCGTAGCCGCTGCAGCTTGCATTTGAGGTGGATGTCACTTCTGCTCCGTTCTGCAATCTTTCTCGGGCGTTGTTTCACCTCCGGCCTGCTCATGCGCCGCCTGAGCGGTCCTGGTCGTTGGACTGGGTGCTCTCTTTTCCTGTTGTCACACGAAATAATTAAATCAAAATGAAAATATATTGAAATCTATGCAAATTCAATTTGTCAATGCAATCGGAAACATTGAAATGGAATGGTATCATATTTACTATAGCGTGTTTTGCTCTTACGCGAAACAGATGGTGCTTTTTTTTTTGTTAAAAGCATGTTTTTTCCTGTCACAGGTGAGGCATGTATATAGTATGTATATAAAAATCCGCTCGGATACGAATGGAACGTTTTGTCAAAATTTCAAAGCAATCAGTGAAGAACTTTCGGAGATTAGCGATTTTGAACAAACATTTTCATTTTTATTTATATAGATGAAATGTAGATAGTTATATATGATGTGTGTGTATATAGTGTGTAGTGGAGGCTATCAGTTATTAACAGGTGAGCAGTCCAAGGATTAAATAGAGATTTGGGTCTCATGATCATATTTGAAATAACATTTTTGACACCTCCACTGAGCCAAATTCAAATCTTCATAGAAAGAAACTTGCTGAAACTCCCGATATCCAAAACATAGACCATATGATTTTTTTCAAAAGAGCCCATTGACTGCCACATCTCAAACCTGTATATTTTATAATTAAGATTTTCTATGGCATTTTTTATTAACCCTAAAACTCCATTATTGAATATAATAAAATGCCAATTTTTGGGTGAGCCCCAGTGGCTCCCTGTAGCTATTTGCCGAGATCATTATCCTCTACTGAGTCATATCAGTTGTGTAATTCTAGAGGCCCACCCGGGACTGGAGCCAGAACCCGAACCCCTCTTCCTCAGAGGTGCAAGGAGTGGGGACTTTTATTTTCACTACCTTACTGGCGAAGGCAACCAGGTCATAGTCAAAACAAAGTACTGTACTGTACTGCTGGATTCAAAAGATACCGAAGCTTCGAAACGATCTGAAAGAACGTCCCCAACAATGAAAAAAATATATCAAATTCTTTGGAGACTAGCACAAGCTCGTTCGCCCCACCTCTCTCACTTGTTTGTGGTGAGGGGTGAGGTAGCCTATCAGCACCCAGCATCTCCAAGCTCATTTCTGGTGCTGATATAGTGGTTACTGGGTCGCCTCTCTCCTGTACTGGCTCTGATGTCCTGTTTATTCAGCCAAGTAGTGTATGTCTGAATTTCGATTAGGTTGTGATTCGAGTAACAAGCATTTTTTAATCATTGTCTCTGACCAGTTCATAATTTTTAGTAAAAATAAGGTCTAGGGTGTTTTCTTTCCTAGTTGGCTCTACTATTTGCTGGTTTAAAATAAAAGTAGTCACACATCTGCAAGAGGTCATTTGTGTTTTACTGTTCATTCAGACTGCTTCCTGGGAGTCTCTCTGCTATAACAGTATTTGTCACATTTTTCCATTTTAGATGCCTTAAGTTGAAATCACCAAACAATGATGCTAGGGGGCAGGGTTTGTGAGGTTTCTCAGTCATATTATATTTTCATAAGATGGTCTTAAATAACTGAGGATTTGTCTGGTGATTTATATACAAGGACAGTCATAACATTTACTATTTCTATTTTTATTATCGACACTTCTACCGTATCGTTTGTGGTGTTTAGCAGTTCGGTGCAGAAGAACACATGGTCAAAAGAGAACTCGACAAGCACCATCAAAGGATACCTGATCAACCAAGCTTTGACTCATGTCAGGCTGCGAATAGTCACATCAAATAGCCTGGTTGACCAGACCAGCAACCAAAATGCCTGGGTCAGAGACCAGGCCATAGGGACATTGATCCTAAAATTTTCAAACAGGTATTCAACAGGTAGGCTCGGCTATAAGTATCTCGAGGAATTTTCATTACCTGCTTATATAGACCTAATAAAATGTAAGCTGTCGGTAAAATTATTTACACATCCTCCGTCACTATGTGATGGATTGCAAAAAGATACGTGAATTCAGAGACAACTCTATAACAAATGTTCAAGAAATGTGTAAATATTTCATTCAAAATGATTTACTACCAGAAATTTTAGCCAGATATCCCCAGTTTGCTAACATTTATAATAGATGTGGGTGATTGTAACCTTTCTACCGCTGCCCACTGGATGGGGGGCGGTGTGCAGGATAAATATATCAGTTGGGACACTAGCTCTTCACATGTGCAAGTTGCTTAATTTAGAGACTGTACTTGTGGTCAGTCTTGAACCCATTGTTGATGTAACAATATACATTAAATTTACCTCCGATTATCTTCAGTTGTATGTTTTTTATATTGTATATATATGTGGAGGTTTGAATAATGTACAGTATATCCAGATTTCTGTCCATGTATGTTGAAGGTTTGCCAGAACTTGACTTGGAAGTTGACTGGTTCTTGAACTCTGGACTTGACTTGGATGTTCTGCCAATTTGCACTTTCTGGCCAAACCTCCAATTATCCAGATTACTATCAGGATATTGTCAAGTTTTGCCAAAAGATTATCCAGATGTGATTTTAGCTGGATACCTCAAATATTCGATTAGTGGAATCTGGATAAGCGAGCTCATACATTATTAATATATAAAAATAAATAGTTATTAATGCTTCAGATTACATAGTGTATTGGAAGCTTAAATGCATCTGATGGAATGATTCTGAGGAGGACTGGGAGAATATTATGATTATATGGAGTGAATTTTAATACATAAATCTCATTAACAGGCAGGCAGTTTGTGCAGAGATTGAAGCCAGGACAGGCAGAGCTGTCATCCATCCCTTTGATAACTATGATGTGATGGCCGGTCAAGGAACTATTGCATTAGAACTGCTTGAAGAGGTATGATAATAGCAATGACAAAACTGTTTACCTCTAAACCTTTGATGTTTTGTTTCTTGTTTGAACTGAGATACAAGGGGTGACAGAAACCTACATGTAGCCCCAACTAACCATAACCTACTATGTTCCATTTTCTCTTGGAATTATGCCCATAATTGCCGAAGTGTAATAACGTAAGTGTAGTCAGAGGATGAGAGCTAAGCTCGTTATGTCCTGTCTTCCCAGTACTCTTTGTCATATAACATTTTGAAACTACTGACGGTTTTGGCCTCTACCACCACCTAACTTAGCTTGTTCCAACCGTCTACCACTCGGCTTTCAAAAGAAAACTCCCAATGCATTTGAAGAGAAGCATTTGAGATAGAACTCCTATACCACAGCCAGTGTTTATGCAGGCAATGTGTAAAACCTCTGATATGAGATCAGAAGGTGCCTCAGGAACCTTAGAAGATTCAGTGGAATCCAAGGTTGCATTACTTTTGTAGTATATCATTGCCTAGTGGTTTAGGGCATGTGCTTAGGAGTACCCAGTACTGTAATTACCTAAGTTTAGTTATAGGATGAGAGCTATGCTCGTGGGGTCCTGTCTGCCCAGCACTCTGTCACATAGCACTTTGAAACTTTGAAACTACTAACGGTTTTGGCTTCCACAACCTTCTCACTTAACTTACTCCTGCCATCTATCACTCTGTTTGCAAAAGTGAATTTTCGTACTTTTCTTCAGCAGCTTTGTTTAGTTATCTATGACCTCTTGTTCTTGAAGTTCCAGGTCTCAAGATTTCTTATCAGCATTTTTTTTTTTTTATATATACATGAGGTACATCTGCATTTGTGCAGCTACCCTAGACTATATGAAGTGGAGTACAGTGTGTCAAAAAAAGCTAACTAGGTGATGCTAAAAAAAAATTATCAGTATTGTTGATTCCCTTCCTGACAGGGGCCTGACAGCTGAGTGGGTAGTGCTTCAGATTCGTAGTCCTGAGGTTCCGGGTTCGATCCCTGGTGGAGGCGGAAACAAATGGGCAGTTTTGTTCACCCTGATGCTCCTATTCACCTAGCAATAAATAAGTACCTGGAAGTTAGACAGCTGCTATGGGCTACTTCCTTGGGGGGTTAACAAAAAGGAGGCCTGGTCGAGAACCGGGCCACGGGGACGCTAAGCTCCGAAATCATCTCAAGATAACCTGTAACTATTTTGTGTGCAAGTTCAAATCTTCCTCATGGCTACTGCTGATTTTCTTATTACTGCATCATGTTAATATTATCTCTTCATATATTTAAAAAAAATGTTGGGATGAAGCTCGTACACCACAGGCAGAGTGTATGCATGTAATGAGTAAAACCCTCAGTCGGGATCAGAACATGCCTCAGGAACTTTAGAGGATGAATCCTTGGTTGCCGTACTTTTGTAGCAGAAGGGACATTTGCTACTGCCTCATCCTCCTCCACTGGAGAAACATCCTCAGCTGGGTCTTCTTGCTGTTCCTTTTGAAGGGCTTGGAGTTCTTCGGTGGTCAGTTCTTCGTTATGTTCTTCCACCAACTCCTCCACATCATCACCATCCAATTCCAAGCCCATTTGCCGGCCCAGAGTAACAATTTCCTCAACAATAGGTGCATCATTTGCAGGCTCAAACCCCTCAAACCTCTCAAACCTCTTTGAGAGGTTTGTGGCTTCAGTCACTTCAAAACATTTCCGGAAAAGTGCCTTTTCATAGAGTTTCTTAAAATTCGCTATAATTTTCTGGTCCATAGGCTGAATTAAAGGAGTGGTGTTAGGAGGAAGGAACTTTATTGTGAGAAATTTACTGTATCTGTGCATCAATTCATGTTCCAATTCATGTTTGAAAACCCTTCGATTTTCAGAATGATACACTAGGAAGGGTTTAATTTTCAAATCGCCACTCGCATTTGAACAGAGCACAAGTGTTAACCTATCTTTCATAGGCTTGTGTCCGGGCAAGGATTTTTCCTCCTTGGTGATGTATGTCCTCTTAGGCAATCTTTTCCAAAACAGTCCAGTTTCATCACAATTAAACACTTGTTGCGGTAGGTATCCCTCGGCCTCTGCAAACTCTTTAAATTCTTCAATAAATCTTTCAGCGGCTGGTTTGTCTGAGCTGGCAGCCTCCCCATGCCTCACAACACTATGAATACCACTTCTTTTTCTAAATTTTTAAACCATCCCCTGCTTGCCTTAAACTCTTTCGTATCTGCATTACTCGTTCCAGGGGATTTCTTTACAAGGTCTTCGTGCAACACCGTGGCTTTCTCACAAATGATGGCCTCCGAAACACTATCACCCTTTAACTCCTCGTTGTGTATCCTAATTAATAACAACTTTTCCACTTCTTCAAGTATTTATGGTCTTTGTTTCGTGATTGTTCTTACGCCTTTTGCCACTTTAGCACTCATAATGTCCTTTTTCTTGCTAAGTATAGTGCATATTGTTGACGTGGCTTTGTTGTACTGCCTACAAAGTTCAACAACACATGTACCATTTTCATGCTTCCTAATGATCTCTTGTTTTTCCTCTATTGTCATTCTCACATGAGCTTTCTTGCCTTGATCCTTACCACTGGCTTTCTTGGGACCCATGGTGAGATATATAATATCAACTTTTATGGTCAAATGACCAAAAATCCAACAAAACACTGAAAATCCGGGTGAAGAATTGACGTGGGATAGTCACTGGGTGCGAGGCACTGGTAAACTGAGGGGTGAGGGGCGGAGGAGCGACGATCGCCGTACCACCACGCGCTAGGTCGGCCTGGACGCATATCGACAAACTCGTGTTCCGAGGTAACCCTCGCCTTCCGAGGCACATTTTCCGAGCAAATCCTGCTCGTATTCCGAAAAACTTGTATACAGGGACACTCGTACTCGCCTATTTTACAAATTCATAAACAACAAATTGCAGGTAAAGGATAATATCCAGAGGTTGAAAATGGGAAACAGATTCACGGAAAATGAAAAGGAAATGTGTGAAACATTAAATGAAAAGTTCCAAAGTGTGTTTGTACAAAATGAAATCTTCAGAGAACCAGACACAATAAGAATTCCAGAGAACAACATAGAGCGGATAGAGGTGTCTAGAGATGAAGTGGAAAATATGCTAAAGGAGCTCGGGAAGAACAAAGCAGCTGGCCCAGATGGCGTTTCACCATGGGTTCTGAGAGAATGTGCATCTGAGCTCAGCATTCCACTTCACCTGATCTTTCAGGCATCCCTGTGTACAGGAATCGTAGCAGACGTGTGGAAACAGGCTAACATAGTTCCAATCTACAAAAGTGGCAGCAGGGAAGACCCTCTCAATTATAGACCTGTATCATTGACAAGTGTAATAGTGAAAGTATTGGAAAAGCTAATCAAAACGAAATGGGTAGAACACCTGGAGAGAAATGATATAATATCAGACAGACAGTATGGTTTTCGATCTGGAAGATCCTATGTATCGAATTTACTCAGTTTCTCTGATCGAGCCACAGAGATATTACAGGAAAGAGATGGTTGGGTTGACTGCATCTATCTGGACCTAAAAAAGGCTTTCGACAGAGTTCCACATAAGAGGTTGTTCTGGAAACTGGAAAATATTGGAGGGGTGACAGGTAAGCTTCTATCATGGATGAAAAATTTTCTGACTGATGGAAAAATGAGGGCAGTAATCAGAGGCAATGTATTGGAATGGAGAAATGTCACAAGTGGAGTACCACAGGGTTCAGTTCTTGCACCAGTGATGTTTATTGTGTACATAAATGATCTACCAGTTGGTATACAGAATTATATGAACATGTTTGCTGATGATGCTAAGATAATAGGAAGGATAAGATATTTAGATGATTGTCATGCCCTTCAAGAAGACCTGGACAAAATAAGTATATGGAGCACCACTTGGCAAATGGAATTTAATGTTAATAAATGTCATGTTATGGAATGTGGAATAGGAGAACATAGACCCCATACAACCTATATATTATGTGAGAAATCTTTAAAGAATTCTGATAAAGAAAGAGATCTAGGGGTGGTTCTAGATAGAAAACTATCACCTGAGGACCACATAAAGAATATTGTGCAAGGAGCCTATGCGATGCTTTCTAACTTCAGAATTGCATTTAAATACTGTACATGGATGGCGATATACTAAAGAAATTGTTCATGACTTTTGTTCGGCCAAAGCTAGAATATGCAGTTGTTGTGTGGTGCCCATATCTTAAGAAGCACATCAACAAACTGGAAAAGGTGCACAGACATGCTACAAAGTGGCTCCCAGAACTGAAGGGCAAGAGCTACGAGGAGAGGTTGGAAGCATTAAACATGCCAAAACTAGAAGACAGAAGAAAAAGAGGTGATATGATCACTACATACAAAATAGTAACAGGAATTGATAAAATCGACAGGGAAGATTTCCTGAGACCTGGCACTTCAAGAACAAGAGGTCATAGATTTAAACTAGCTAAACACAGATGCCGAAGAAATATAAGAAAATTCACCTTCGCAAATAGAGTGGTAGACGGTTGGAACAAGTTAGGTGAGAAGGTGGTGGAGGCCAAGACCGTCAGTAGTTTCAAAGCGTTATATGACAAAGAGTGCTGGGAAGACGGGACACCACGAGCGTAGCTCTCATCCTGTAACTACACTTAGGTAATTACACTTAGGTAATTACTCGTATTCCGAGGTACCACTGTACCATTTCACAGGCTTCCAGTTCCCCATCACGTTTTAGGAAAAAAAAATTATTCTTCATTCCTACTCACAATTAGACATTTGCCTTCATCAAGATGTACTTTTAGCTTCTCTCTGTCTTCCTTTGAAATATTTTGTCTTAATGACCCTAGTTTTCCATCTTCATCACTTTGCAATCAATTTCTAGACATTCCAAAGGACTTTTACCATTTGTTTCACCCAATTAAATATCACCCTTAACCACCGTGCTGCGCCGTGTTTATTGTGAAATTCCCCCTGTGCGCATGAAATAAAGTGTTCCCCAAAAATTCTTTTTCC